CCCCCTGCTTGTGCTCCCTCTCTCGCTGTGTCTCTCTCTGTCAAATAAATAAACAAAATCTTTTAAAAAAAAGGGAAGTGGGGAGACTGTTGCGAACAGTGGTCATTAACGAGAAGTTAAATTCTAACTTCTAACCTTCTATAGGAAACTGCAGATGAACCATGGCTTGGATTTTAATAGGAAATGGTTTTTGGGGTTTTTTTTGTTTGGTTTTAAAGGTTTTAAAGGTTTACTACTACTTGTTCATTCTCAGTAGGCTCCAGGTTTGATACCAAGGATAGAACACTGAAGTACATGGCCCTGGCTACAAGGAGTCCCAGTCCAGTGGGAAACAAAAACATGTCTCCATGAACTCCCCACTCCTAGAGGAAGGCTCAACCAGAGGCTTTTGGCTTTCCAAACAATCTCCATCGATACAGGCCTCATTCTAAATATAAAAAGCCTCTTTTTCCCTATATTAGAAGAGATGTATGGTGCTTACTTTAGTAGAATACAATCATATGAAGTTTTATTTACCTAAGCAGTACACATTTTCGAATAAAAATACAAAACAAAAAAATGACGCCAACAAAAGAACCAATCACTAAAAAAAAGTACACTCCAAGCTGAGAATGAGAAAGAGTAATCATTGTTCTTTTGTGGGTTTTTTTGTTTGTTTTTTACAAAGGTTACAGAGCCACAGCCTTATGGACAGTACATGGTCATAAACTCAAGTGAATTACAAAATATACACATTGACTCATAAAGCTCCCCATGCCCCTCAGCTCTATGCGCTTTAAGACAACTAATGAACACTACACTACATTAAAAGGCCCTGAAGAACAGGAACTATGACTTATTTATCTTTGCATCACAAGTACATAGCACAGGACTTGGCAGGTAGACCTTTAATAAATGACTGGTAAATAAATGAATGTCCAATGTAAAACCCCACATCTCTTACCTGCTCTTACTCCTCGATACTGAGGGGTAGCAAACATGTCCCACTGGGAAACTATAATGGCCGCAATGCCCAGCACACAGATGACAATTAAGTAGATAAAGCAAGGTTGTGGATTACAGTAGAAAGAATAATAAAGCCATGGAACAAAACTTCCCATAATCAGAAGAGCAATGCCAGAATAATCCAGTCTAAAATACGAAAAAAAAAAATTCATGTGATGTTAAAAAGTACGACCCACTACAGGTTCCAATTACTCCCCTATGACATGAGCTAGCACTAACAGACAAGAGGCAAACAGGGATGCTTGCTTTAATTAAAAAAAACAAAAACAAAAGAACTTTTTTTAAGTTCCCATCAGATACTATCAAGAATTCTGCCAATTCTGCTGGATGTTCTTCCCTAACCACTGACTCTAATATTTGATTACAATGTAGACTTTCTGATACTTACTTAGAGAACAGCCGGGAGACCCCTTCTGAGTGGCAGTAGACCGTGTGGAAGAGCCATGAAAAAGAAAGGCAGAGAATGGCCCCCAAGAAAAATAATCCAAAGACCACCTTCTCTTGAAGAGGGGCCACAAAGGAGATGTTTGGGCGAAACATATAAAAGATCCCCAGGCACAGGAAGAATACACAACCTACAAAGAGAGTACAGAAAGAGAAAAGACGATCCTTGTCAAGATAACAGTGTTGTGTGTTGATGAGGTTCTCAGTACTTCACAATCACAATGTATCTGAATCAAAAGCTCCATGAGAAAGATTTTCCAAATAACTAAAGCTTATCCAAAATTTTGGTCTATTTCAAACACTGCTGGTACCATATACTCCTCAGCTTCAAAAACCGAGTGTATAGGAAATAGTACTTTATTTATCTAAGAGCATAATCCAAAAAGAAACCAGACAATGTTGCTACTCCTTAGAAGGCTAAATTAGTCCACTTCTACCTCTAGATCTAGTATAGAATTTCATTTAGAAAGTTTTTGGCACATATGTTGGAGCCTAGCTTTCAAAGATCCATTTTGGTGTTTGCTTTTGCAATGAATTCTAATACCTCCAAACCCTGTCAAGAAATACAGCTTTTGGGGCACCTGGGTGGCTTGGTTGGTTAAGCGTCTGCCTTCAGCTCAGGTCATGATCTCAGGGTCCCGGGACTGAGTCCCGCATCAGGCTCCCTGCTCAGCAGGGAGCCTGCTTCTCCCTCTCCTCCCCGCTCTTGCTCTATTTCTCTCTCTCTCTCAAATAAATAAATAAAATCTTAAAAAAAGAAAAAGAAATACAGCTTTCCTCCACCAATAGCCGTCAAGGAACATTATGCTTCTCTGGTCCTCACCAGTTGGCCCAACAGATTCAAGAGTTAAGGACAATAAAATGCCTATTCATGCTATTTCATAATCAGTTTTTAAACTGCTCTTCTTCACAGTAAAATACATATTCTTGCTGCTTAGGAAAAGGTCACTTAACACAAGGAAGGCACAGAAATTAAGAAGTTAAACATGTGCTCAGTAACTGTTCTATTTAAGAAACTTTTACCCTTGAGTAGAAGTCAGCAATGAACTGGTTTTGCTGCTCTATTCCACTCTCACTACACTAGCAGGTAGAAAGGAATTTGGGGACACAACAGAAATCAAATGTGTGATACAAAATGCAAGTTAAATGGGGGTAAACCAAAAAAGATTTCGTATATTCACAGGGTTGTGCAACCATCACTATTATTTAATTTCAGAATATTTTCATCACCCCAAAAAGAAGCCCATACTTACTACATTCATCTCCCACTCCCTACTATCCCCCCAGCCCTAGACTACCACTAATCTACTTTCTGTCTCTATGGATTTTCACATTCTGGACATTTCGTGTATATGGATTACATAATATGTGGCCTTTTGTGTCTGGCTTATTCCACTTAGCATAATGTTTCAAGGCTCACCCATGTTGCAACACATCAGTACTTCATCTCTTTTTATGGCCAAATAATATTTCATTTGTATGGATATGCCACATTTTATTTACCCATTCACCAGCTGAAAGATGTTTGGGTTGTTTCTACTTTTTAACTATTATAAATAATGTTGCTAAAAACATCTGTATACATGGTTTTGTGTGAACATGTTTTCAATTCTCTTGAGTACGTAACTAAGGAGCAGAACTACTGATAACTCTGTTTAACTTTTTGAGGAACTGTCAAAACTGTTTTCCATAAAGGCTGTGCCATTTTACATTCCTACCAGCAAAGTATGAGAGTTGCAATTTTTCTACATCCTTGCCAAAACTTATTATTTTCCATTTTCTTGATTATAGCCATTCTAGGAAGCGTAAAGTGGTATCTCATTACATTTTTCAAAGTATTTGAATTGCAATTTCCAAAATGACTAATGATGCTGAGCATCCCTTTTTTTCCCCCTTTTTAAAAACTGAAATAGAGTTGACACTTGAGCATTTTTTCATGTGTTTATTGGTCATCTGTAGACCTTTGGAGAAATGTCTATTCAGATGCTTTACTCATTTTTTAAACTGGTTCATCATTTTATTGTTTAGTTGTAGAAGTTCTTTACTAGAGCCTCATCAGACAGATGATTTGCAAACATTTTCTCCCATTCTGTGGGTTATCTTTCCACTTTCTTGAAAATGTCCTTTGACATATGAAAGTTTTTAATTTTGAGAAAGTCCAATTTATCTATTTTTTTTTTTTTGGTTGTTTATACCAAACTTAGGTGTCAATTATCACGTAATCTAAGGTCACAAAGATTTACATCTATGTTTTTACCTAATAATTTTATGGTTTTAGTTATGTTTAGGTCTTTGATCCATTTTGAGTTAATTTTGTAATGAGGTAGGGATCCAACTTGATTCTTTTACATGTACTTACTCAGTTTTCCCCCAATACTCTTTGCTGAAAAGACTATTCTTCCCCCGCTATATTCTTCCTTTAATATGCAATCATGATGGAAAAAAATATTAGGGATCACATTCTACTTCAAGCAAAACTAAAATTTAGTTGTGAATATTCTAAGTAATGATTTTGAAAAATCAGTATTTCTATTAAATAAGCACCTTCCTCAAAGTGTTCATTAAGACATTATACCACATTTTATATACATTTCCCTTGGCCTGGTTCAAGAATACAGTCTGAAAATCTAATAGATAAAATTATGACTTAGGTAAATAAAATCAAAGTGCAAACTAGGATAACCACAGAATAAACCAGTAAGAAACTTCATCATTAGAAATCCAGAAAACAAAACGGCAAATCCCAAATAATTTTTTTGTTTTATCCTTATCCTCAAAATACACAGGGGAAAAAAAAAGAATAAAGTGAATCACTAATCCCCTGCACCACTGATATTACATACCTAAAAGATGTGTCCAGATGTTACCCGTCTCTGTGTGTATTCTGAAAATGCTCTTAAAACAGGCCCGGAAAGAAGGCATTGGGGGCCGATGTCCATGTAAAAGGAAATCGTTATCCTTGAGCCAGTCTGGTAGTACATCATGAGGGATTACTCGCCACCGACCTTCCCATACCTGGAAGAAGAATATCAAATATCTTTGTGGTTTTCTCAATGTAGCAACACTGGTTGCCCTAAAAGAATGGTTTTAAGCTTCATTTCAGTCTGGCTAAAGGTCGGGTCCACCTGTACAGACTTGCCTTCCTTCGTCAACCACAACAAACTTTACCTCTGAAAAGTCCCTGTGATATTAAATATGACTGTTTTTATACTTTAACATTCCTGTTGGTGGAAAAAGAACTACAGCTGACCCTTGAACGTGGGTTTGAAATGTGCGGGTCGACTTATATGCAGATTTTTTATAGTACAGTTCTGTAAATGAATTTTCTCTTCCTTATGATGTTACTAACATTTTTTCTCTAGCTTATTTTAAGAATATAGTTTATAATACGTATCACATACAAAATATGTTGACTTTTCATACTACTGGTAAGGCTCCCACTCAACAGTAGGCTATTAATAGTTAAGTTTTGGAGGAGTCAAAAGTTATGCATGGATTTTCAACTGTGAAGGAGTCAGTACCTTTAACCCCTGTGTCATGCAAGGGCCAAACCCATATATAGAATCACTTGTGTGCCTTCTGCTAAATTCTCTCCCTTTCCCTTCTCTTCCTACCACAACAAACATGAAGTAAAACAAAAAGTCCACAGGAGTCAAAATCTTTGATCTCTACCATTAACTAGTTGAAGGAGCTTTAATCAGAAAATCACCAAGCCTCAGTTTCATTTATAAAAGGGGGTGACAGTACTTTACTTTGTAAGGATCAAATGAAATAACCCAGAGCACTTTGTGAATGTTTTAGCAAGCCCCAGCATCCACCCCACAGGTGGTATATAACCCTGACCGTTCCCAGAGGCTATTAACCTACCTAAGAGTTACTGACTAATTCACCCTCCTCATGCTGGAGAGATGGCAAAGAAACTCAAACGTTAAGGGCCCTTCAAAAGTCCCATCACCACCACCCCCTACTCCCTTTTCTTCACTGTCCCTCCCCCACAGACTCTAACAGAAAAGGGACCAGGAATTTGGTACCTGTCCTTAAAAACCTGTCATCCTCTGCACTCTGCTTCTTTTAATGTCTCTCAGCCCAGAAAGCTCACATCATAAGGATCACTTAATCCCAAACTAACTTGTTTCTCCTAATCAGAACAATAGAAGGAAAAATGCCAGGTATATCGTCTACCTATAGACTTCAGGTTGAGACAATGACCCCACTCCTACCCCTCAGGGTTCTTGTGACAAACAACGTGGCTAGGCTATTTCTACTGTGCAATGCAAAATGACTGCCAGCTACTGAACCCCTTTATTTGGCTTCACATCTTCCTGTTCTCTGCTCTCCTTAATCCTTCTTATTGAAATACACTTGTAAAAGAACTGATCCTCCGTGTAACTCCAAAGGAAGCGAGAAGTAACATTTTAAGAGCAGAAGTGGCCCTCTTAACGCTACTAAAATTCACTCTCTCTAGCCTCCCCACTTCCTCTCTCGCCTTCTAACTCAAAACCTGAGGCCTGCAGTTATGATAATCTGACCATTCCATGCTTGTTCGTAACACACAAAAAAAATACAATAATGCCAAAAGACTAATCTAGATATTTAATGTCTACTGGTAATAGTATTACCACTTGTAAAAGTAGCTGTTTGAGATCTTCCAAAGGACTTTCTGGAGAGAAAGAATACTCTAGGAAACTGAATTTCTTTTCTCTAATTTGGACTGGAAAAAAAGATAGCTACTGTTAACATTAACTTTACAAGATGCTACTCTGTTTTACTTTGGGAGAATTTTATTCTCTAAGACGGAGAGGAAAAGAGAAATCAATCCTTACATCCTCAAGGCAGTTCACAATCTGCAAACAGCTCTGCTGTGACCATATGAAAAGTGCTATTGTGTTACCCCACACAGCCAAGATGCTCCCTTTTTGCAGTCAGAAAGAATATGTTGAGTTTCTTACTAGTTATATTTGCATATAACGTCAGAATGATTTTTCTCCATTGTTTCTAAACATTCTAGCAGTCTAAAATGAGCCAAGGAGCTATACTTTCATAATTATAGTGAAGTTAGTGTCATATTCAACAGACACTGCACCCTCAATCCTCAACCTGGAGTCAATCCAAATGCCAACCCAAACAGGCATCCTCTTTTACCCGCCCCCCCAGGGGAAAAAAGAACAGGATCACAGCTTGGCCAAATACTATTTATTTATAAGCTTAACAAAGGCACTGTATAAATCAAACATCTGAGCAATGGTCCACTGGATTTGTATTAGATCATTAATGCACAAAACACTTCTTTTTAATTGAAGGCTGGAAAAAAAGAGAGCATGATCAAATTGGACACTCTATAAAGACTAAATGATTTTATTTCCCCATTCCTATAATAAAAGCTTTTCCAAAAGGGAGTGTATACCAGCAAGGCCACAGGACACTTCATTTTAAATTGTTTACTTGCTTGCAATCCAAGAAAAAAACTGTGTGTGTCACTAGACCCAGCTAGTTGTCAAGTACACTCAGTCGCATGACCGCAGCAGAGCAAGCGTGGAGAACGCCGTGTCACAAGAAGCCTCTCTAGTCCACTCTCACTGACACACTGCTAGAGGATGATATGGGAATGGTAATAATTTTTGTGCTCCACTCATTCTTCTTAATAAATCACAGTTTGGAGCAAACAAATGCCCTACTTATTCTCCCATTAGCTGTTACATTAGAAGTTTTATTTGCTTTATTCTTAGTTCAGAAAAGGAGAATAAAAAGGCAGTCAAGTTAGCTACAGTACCCCACTGATCTATATATATTACAAATCCCTAATGGCCCAGACACTAAATATTCAACATCCCTGTGTGTTAATTCTCCTGAGAGAGCAATCACTAGAAAAAAATCTATTGTTTTGCTTGGCTTTTTCTTCACCAATTTTCAAACACTGAAAATTTTCTGGGCTCTAAGTAGACCCATAAATATTCGTTCCCCTCCCCCACCACTCTCCACTCATCCTTTTTCTCTTAGAAGAGATGTCTATGCTCAGATTATAATGTTTTCTCATCCTCTGGTCCAAAGTACAGTATTCTATAGTCAACTGGCCCCCAATTATTTCTACCACCACTGTGAATGTAGGAAAACCCAACTTAGTTTTCAGGATGTAAGACCACACACATAAAAAGTCTTGGTTCCATGAAACCTATTAAAAAAAAAAAAAAGCTAAGAGTCACAAAAATTTCTCTCTCTCTAAGTAATCAAGAGCTCTCCAGAAATGTTTAACAAATAAATTTATTTACACATACTAACACAGACAGACTGACTTATGATTTTGGATAATTCCTGCCAGGGTCCCTATTGATCAGATTATCAAGTAGTTATAAATTTACCAGTGTCCCTGACTCTTTTCTCTAAGAAAGCAACCCCAATTCCAGTTACCATTTTAGAAGAAGGAAAAAAAAATCCCCACAATTGGTCCTAAAGAATCAGATAATGCATAAGAAAAACCTTAGAGACAGAAAACATGCCAGCTAAACTAGAAATACTAGATGTGCATGAAAACTGGGAAATTTATATCTAAAGAGTAGTTTGATTACCCACAGAATCCTTAGAAAGATTAGCACATTTGCCATCACAGTCACATAGCAGAAGAGATTCAAAAGACTTGGAGATGGCATTTTAGTATCTCTAGGCATCAACCACTCCCAACCTTCATTCTGTTTTATCTAAACTGTCAACAAAACATCTACTGTGTTAACTTATATCAGGAAACACTTGTTTCCCAGATGGATATTCCAGTTTTATCACAACCTTCTCATGGCTACTTCAGGTAAACAAATGTATTTTGGGGGGCGCCTGGGTGGCTCAGTCGTTAAGCGTCTGCCTTCGGCTCAGGTCATGATCCCAGGGTCCTGGGATC